TGACTCAGCCTGGAACTGAAAATATGGATGGAGGACAACAGAGCTGCTTCATGGAAGAAGAACCTCAGCTTAGCCTGTTAGCTTATGTGATTCTGACGAGGATCGCAGCTCAGGAGCGAGCCTCCAGCATGTAAGGATTACATGTTATGTTGTATTCATGATTAAATACAGCAAAATAAACTAATTCAAAGGTAACAGATCTTTGTAATACTTGGTTTATTTACATAATAACTTTAATTGCTGAATGTTCGGCCCCTCAGCAGTTGACCATCAGTAACCCCCTGACCCCCCGGGGTGATTTAGTTGAATAGTCCTGGTTTATAGATTTGGTACTCCGCTCATCCTCAGCCACAGAACAGAAGTCCAGTTGTTTCATCTTTTCTAGCTTTGTCATGTCCTGGATGACTGAGAATCTATATCAACATGACGTTAATGGTGGGACACCAATATGTTGGACCACATCAAGCTGGAATGATGGGATCAGTACATCGCTCCTGTTCCAGAAATTCAATTCTGCACCTGAGTCGGCAGGACGTTGGAAGATCAATTGTAACCATAGAAGAAAGTTGTTTTTTTACTGCACAAGTTCTGAATTGATCCACACACGCTAACATGTGTAGCATTCATATTTACTTCTGTAAACACAGCGTGCTATGTGTGATGTCATGTCTTCTGCAGGTCACTTCAGAGCCGTGGGCTGTTCACACCACAGTCTGATGTAGGCTGATTTGAAATCAGGGATTTTGATGTTATCAGTCCATGAAATGGACGTTATTAGGCGTTATCAGTCCCATGCAATGGCTTCAGAGGGACCCTACTGTGCCTTCTAGGCTTCAGACTGTCAGTGACAGTGCCCCCTAGTGGGTTAATATATCAATGACAATGAATGTGTAAATAACCATATAAACAAAACATATTTTAATAATTTTTTTGTCCTTGCCTGTTGGAGATCCTTGCTCTTGCTGTCCATGTCGGTTTTGAACCCTGATCTCCCACTTTTTGGTCTGACACTCTACCCATTGCCCTATTAGAAGGCCACTACACACGTGTCGGAGGGCAGTGTCTTTGGCGGTGTCTTTAGAGATTACCATGACATTTTCTCTAAGGTTAACCTTAATGGCTTTTTGCCTCATGTTAACCATATAGTGTCTTTATGCCTCATATTAACCAGCTGACAATCAGAAGCCATTCTATGGGACGGGGAACCTGCTAAGCGCCACAGGCGGGACATTCTGAAGTCATTCTTGGGGACAGATAACGGCCTATTAACGTCCATTTCATGGATGATAACATCTGAAGCGGGTGTTTGAAATTGTACCGTGAACAATCACACCTTTTCACATAATCCTTCCTGAAAAGATTCGGAATCTTTATCAAATTTATCTTCCGTGAACATTTGTAAACAAACAGATGGGAGGGTCATTTTAAAAGTGCAACTGGAGTGCTTTGGTACAGATTCTTCACCACCTGTTGTAGCCAGTTTACACTGGGTAAATTTAAGATTTCCTCCTGTGAAGTTCATGGCTAAAAATAATGTGTGTTACAGCAATTTAACTTGAGGCAAAAAACAAACAAACAAACAACAACACATCAGAGAGCTTAAATATACCTGGAGAAGGAGGGCAGGTCAGATTGAAGGATGACCAAGAGTGATGAGGAGGGCCT